GCTGAACTCACCCTCCCCTGGCAGGGAGCCCAGCGTGTGCCCTCTGCTGCCCAGCCCTGAGAGCTGAGACCGCTCGGAGGCTGGGTGCCCACCAGGGCCCGGTGTCCTCGCACCTGCAGCTCACAGGCATCCCTGGGACCGGGGCTCCTGACGTGCGGTCCCGACTTGGGGTTCCCGGCCTTGAGCACAGCGGCTGTTCCTGAGTCCCCTCCCGCTCTGGACTCTCTCCCCGCCCACAGACCCACAGACCCGGAGTTCCCACCCGAGGGCAGCTGTCTTCACTGCCTCTACTCTCCCTGCAGCCCATGAGGGCCCCACCGGCAGGCTCCACCCTTGTGAACAGACTTGAGGGCCTTTCCCGGGAACACCAGGGTGGCCGCCCTGGCACCCTGCCGCCCCTTCCTCCTCCCGAGGACCCTGCGCTCTGCGTCCATGCCGTCGTCTGCCTGCTCCACGGTCCCTTCGCCTTGGCTTCTTACTTACCAAGGGCGTTTTGGCTCTGATCCAGCCTGAGATTCCTCAGGAACGGCTTTTTTTCAATCGAGTTTGAGAAGGTTCAACTGTGCTTCTGGCCTCATGTCCCCCGCCCCCTTTCCTGGTCTAGGTGTTGGCTGGGCGGGTTCCAGACCACTCGCCGTACCTGCCGGTTTGCTGGCTCCTCCCCTGGGTGAGTATGGGTTGCTCGTGCTGATTTGCAGTTTGCCTCAGCGTAGATGACTCCTCTGGCTTGTTTTCGAGGGCTCTCATCCTTTACTCAGAAATAGCTGTTCCACAGTCACACCGTCTACGGCTGGGTAGCGATCTTACCGGCGTGTGCTTGACATACATTGAGGACACATCAGTTTCAAAAGCACTGCTTGCTGGAGAGACGCCGGCAGAGAAGGAGAGCTCCCAAGTGGGCCTTGCATGCCTGCTTAGACTGCTCCTCACCCTCCCGGGCTGGGATCCTGATCCCCAACTAGGGGTTCTGGGGCCCGCTCTACAGTCAGCGAGTCTGCAGAACTGAGCGCTCAGCTCCACGGTCTGGCGTTAGAAAACCGCCATCGTCCCGACCACTTCCTTTATGCCTGCTCAGTGAAAATATGCTTCGTTCCCAAGCTCCGCTCACCCCTCGGGCGCTCTGTGGTGGATCTGCCTTCCTGGGAAGCTCAGGCCTGGACCCAAGGGCTTCTCTTCTGTGTCCGCTCACGTTTGCTTAGCACACCGTGACAGCTCAATCCGCGTTGGGGCACTTATTAGTTCAGCTCATGTCTTTCTGTCACATGTCAGAGTGTGTGAGTGTGAGGGAGACAGAGGAAGGACAAGAGCCCCAGCAGGACCGGGTGTCCCTGCACTTCTCTGTTTTGTCAGGATCCTGGACACTCCGCTGCCTGGTATGCTCTGAGCTGCTCGGACCAGGACTTGAACCCTGGGCAGCTCTCTGAACAGCACTGTGAGATCTAGCTAGCTCTGCACAGCACTCCTCTGTGCTATGACGATGCCCTCAGACAATGTCTTTTATTTTTAGAGATTTCTGCTGTAGTGTTTGCGGCTTGCTGCAGAGACAGAAAGTGAGACAGACAGAAAGCAGAGAGAAATCGCCCCCCAGGAGGGTGGCCACGCCACCATCCCTTCTCCTCCATTATCCTCTCGGGATCTTGGGCACGCACGCACCTGCACCTGGTGTGAGTTTAAGCCACTGGGTTTGAGACTTGAACTGTGGCCCACTACATGGGAGTCCAGCGACGTAACCATTCCACCATCTGCTAGTCCCCCCATACAGTGTCTCTTTGATTAAAGCGTCATTTCCCTTTCTACAGTTGCCATCGGCCCCACGTCGTCCTTCCCACCTGTCCTCGGAAACCTACCGTGTGTTACCACGGTGCCATCACCCTCCATGCGTGCTTTATGATAGACTTGATTTTCTGGCCTTTCTAAAACGTGGACCTCTGCTTGCTTATAGAGATGATGGCTCCTTTTTAATTTTTTCCTGTTTCTTGTGTCATTTTTTAAAAAGAATTCATTTTACTTAATTTGCTATAGGACACATGTGCTTACCAGAGACAGAGAATGATACATTGAAAAAGTAAGCTACCAGGTCCGAGACTCGAACTGCAGTCGGCCATGTGGGTGTCCCGCACCTCAACCGCCACACACCAGCTGGCCCCGTCGTCGTATTTTCACATATCAAAACCTTCTAGTAAGGGCGAGGCCGGATTTCAGTGGTGCAGTTCTGTCTTTTCTGGCTGTATGTGGAGGCCGCTGAGAGTCTGCCTTCGGTCAGGTCAACCCGGAGTGCACCATGTTGTACACGTCTGTTGTACATGTCTGCCCAACGACTCCGCGTGTGCCTCTGTGCGTGCACCTCCTACACTGTCCTGACACTTCAGATAGCGGGGTTTCCTGAGAGGATTTGATTTAAACTTTTTTTTGAGAGACAGAGAGAGATGTTTACTATAGGGTGTGTGTGCTTGCTGGAGAGACACAAAGTGAGAACTCACACCCCCCTGGGGTGGGGATGGCCATGCCGCAATCCCTTCTCCCCCATTCCTCTCTCGGGACTTTGGGCACTCACTCACACGTACCCAGCTTGAGTTTTAAGCCACCAGGTTCAGGAATTGTACCGCGGTCAGCTACGTGGGAGTCCAGAGACATAACCATTATGCCACCTGCTGGTCCCTTGATTTAAAATTCAACAGCTGGGGCCAGCAGGTGTCGTGGTGGTTGAGGTGCTGGGCTCCCACACAGCCAACTGCAGTCCAAGTCCCAGACCTAGCAGCTCTCTCTCTCATTCGTGCACACTTGCCCTAGAGCAAATTAAAAAATAATGAAATTCTTTAAAAAAAAGTAACTGTCTTCATGTATTTTGAATCTTAGGCTAACTAATAATAATTGTTAGCAATTAGTTTCTCTGATGTAGTGTTTAATGTTTTTCTTGTATTTTTTGTAATATATATTTCCAGTTATCTGCTGCTACTTTTTTTGGCTCTTGCAAATAAGTGTATCGAACAGCACTAGGAAAACATGAAGTCAGATCACAAAAATAACAGCACTCTTATTCCGTCTTGTTTGAAAATTCATGAGTCTTATTTTATTCCCCTCATATACCTAGCACTTGACACCCGGGTGGGCCCAGCAGGGGGGCATGACGGCTAAGGTGCTGGGCTCCCACGTGCTCACTGCGGCTAGAGTCCTGGGCCTGGTAGCTGGCTTCTCACTTTCCCTCTCCGTCTCTCTCTGGTGAGCACATACGTCCTATGGCAACATTTTAAAATTAGGTAAAAGTAAATAACTAAAAACATACCTGGCACATAGTAGATGTGCAGTAAATATTTTCTGAGGCTCTTCATAAGCACCAAGCACTGGGCCAGCAGGTGGAGTGGTGGCTACAGGCACTGGATTCCCACGTGGCCGACTGCGGTTTGAGTCCCAGATCTGGCAACTTGCTTTCTCTCTTTCCCTTTCTCTCTCTCTGGTCAAATTAAAATAAGTAAATAACTAAAGTTACAAAAAAAATTTTTTTTAAGAAAAAGAACCAAGCTCTGTGCACATTCTTTTATTGGGAGATTTCATGCAGGTTCCAAAGGAAAATTCTTTGGTATGCTAGTAATGGGAGCTTGGTCTCACTCGTAGCCGCCCACGTATTTGGGAGCATTTGCAGGATAATAACGGCAAGGATGCGCGACAGGCCTGCTGCAGATCATGTGCACGTGCTGCTGCTCCCACCTGATAAGGCGCACTGGTGTGTGAAGTGGCCCATGGTTCTCGCGTGCAGATACGTAGCAAACTCCCTTTCTCTGGGGCCGGCGGGTGGCGCTGTGGGTAAGCTGCTCACTCCCACACGGCTGCCTGTGACTCGGGTCCTAGACCTGATCCCTTGTAAATCTCATGGGATGTGTGCCCACAATTTCTAGAGGAGACTGGAATACAAGGGGCCGTAGGGTGTCTGTTCCCTCTGGGGGTGATTTCTCACTTTCCTTCTCTGTTTCTCTCCAGCAAGTACACGTGCCCTTTGGCAAAAAAAAAAAAAAAAAAAAAACACTGCTCTGTGGGGATAGGCCGCTCGAATGGAAGGAGGCTGTCGCGTGGCTGTCAGACACGCACGTGGGCGATCTCTCTCTTTGAGGCTTACTGATTTAATTTCTGGAGGGATGGGGTCACTGGCAAGAGATCTTCATACCACAGTCCTCACCCCCACCCTGGTGCCTGCGAGTGCCACAGGCATGCCCACGGGCACCCCGGCCTTGCGAGGTGGACCAGGCCCAGGCCCAGAGCCTGCCCACGTGGCTCCCAGTGTCACGTGGCGGTGCCCCCACCCCTCGGGCCACACAGCTTGGTTGCTGACCTCTCAACACCATGTCACTCCCTTCATTTTCCCCTCGCCAGGACCGTCCGTCACTGTTGGCTGAGTCACCTTTAGAATGTCCCATCCAAGGAACGATGGCCGTGTCACTCATTTGGTAGCTCCAAGGATTGCTGGCCGTCCTTAGTAACTCCGGGTGGAAAGAAGGCGTAAGTTAGCGAGGGGCAGGCGGTCCAGCAGCTGAGATGTTCCCGAGGCCCTGAGAGTGCAGGGGCTCCTGTGCGGTCTCTAACTAGGGTGCCCAGTGCCCTTACTTTCCGGGTACTTTGCTGTATTTTCTGCTCTCATTTATGTGCTCTGTGATCTGTTTTAGGCTAAAAGCTGGGATGAGCTGGGATGCTCCCGTGCTTCTGGAAGGAGAGGTAAGAGGCTTCTCTGGTCTCGGGACGTACTTCGCATGCGTCACAGCGTCAGGGCCTGTGAGTTCACGCTTGCAGAGGCTCAGGAGAGACCGTGTGTGCGTGTTTAATTCAATAACGCATGTTCCTGTGGGTGCCCCTGCCTTGTTCGAAGAACCCACAGTACTAGTTCTCTTTAAAGATTCCGGGGGACCAGCAGGTGGCGTAGTGGTTAAGGCACCGGACTCCCATATGGCCGACTGTGATCTGAGTCGTGAATCTGGTGGCTTAAAACTCATGCCAGGCGTGTGCGTGTGTGTGTGTCCGTCCGTCCCAAATCTCAGGAGGAGCAAGGAGGAGGGGCTGTGGTGTGACCACCCCTGAAGGGATGCTTTCTCACGCTCACTCTCTGTCTTTGCAGAGCACACCTGCCCTATGGCGAAAACCCTAAAAAACAACAAAATTGGAATCATTGGCATACTTCCTTTTCCCCACGATTTTGTTGTGTGACAATAATTTTGTACTGGGGGACCAGCAGATGGCATACTGGTTACACTGCTGCACTCCCACATAGTTGACTGCGGTTCCAGCCCTGGACCTGGTGGCCTGAAACTCTCACCAGGGCATGTCCACAATCCTGAGAGCAGAAAGGAGAAGAGATTGGCGCGTGGCCATCTCCCTGGGGGGGGCGTGCTCTCTGCAGTGAGTGCACACGCCCTATGGCAAAAATCTCTCTAAAATGATTTTTTTGTAATGACACATTTTTTTCCTCTTTCCCTGGCACATTCAGAACCGTGGGAGGTTCTCACTCCGTTTGCTCTGTCGCCATGCCGTATGTCATTGGGCTGTCAGAAAAGTCATGACGCTGCTGTGCATAGAAAAGCTTCTCAGGACTTTCCCGACAACCCCGTATTTAATGACCCCTCACTCCTTCCCGTTTTAGTTGACCAAGGTTTTCTTTGCTGAGTGTTCTGATTCTATCTGGTTTCATTGGAAGAGTCTTGGTCAGGTTCTGTCTGGTACCCGTGTGCGTGTTCCGTCATGCAGATACAAACCACAGGGCTGTTCACGCTGACTCGGCTTCGTCCGCAGTGCAGTGGGCGGCCTGCACCAGCCGTGCCTGGCCGTGGGCGGGCTCCCTGTTGGGAGGGTGCTGGTCTGGATCGATGATGAGCATTATTGTCTGAGGATGCTGAGGGACTCATTCCAGATGTCAATCTGAGGTCCAGACGAGGGCCCCTCCAACGGGACAGAGAAGACCCTCCGAGCCGGCTCTGCTCGGTGCCCCTCAGTGCCAGTGGGTACCCGACGGGCACGCCTGTTCTTTCTCAGCATAGGCCGTCGGCGTCCCGTCTGACGAGGCATCCGGATCGCACTCGGTGACCGAGACTTGCTTCGCTGTGCTCACTTTGAACAGGGCACGGGAGGTAATGCTTGGATGTAGGAAAGCTGCTCTCAAGTGGTGAGGGAGGGAGCATGCTCTTCGGCGGTGGTGGGCACTCAGAGTCTTGTCCGTGTGCTGGCAGAGGAGCCCCGCGTGCCTGTGCTAGGCGATGACCAGGCACCAGTGTTCGTGCTGCCTCGCTTTCATTGATTATTTCCTAAGATGGTTTTTGCTTTTCTTCTCTCCCGTTTTGCCAAGGTGGGAGAGGTGCACTCTGGTCCTTCCGCTCAGCCAGCGGTGAGCAAGGCCCCGGCGTCCTTTGCAATCCACACACCGTGAGCTTCGGGCAGTCGTGAGATCTCTGTCCGTCTCCTGAGAGGCTTATTTGAGAATATTTCCGCGATATGTCGTCTTCCCCATCGGGAACCTCACCGAGGTGAATGACACTGCTGAATCCTTGTCAGTTCTTACGCCTGCATGCTTTTATGAAAATGGATAGAAAAAGCCTTATTAATTTATATCGGCTCCCGGAATTGCGAGTCAACCATTCCCGAACATTACTAAGTTCCCTCAGTTGTGTAGTTACTGGGATCGCAGAGCAGATTCTCCATGGGCCAGAAGGCCTTGTGGTCACTCTGCGTTCTCGTTCTTCCAGCGTAATCACTAGGGGTCGGCTTCAGTTTTGTTTTCTGCCTTTGCACACCAAGAGAGGTTGCACGTGGCATGTTGGCTCTGAACAGCACGTGCGAGACCATCCTGGGAGGGAGAAACTGGTGTGACCTGAAATGCTGTGCGTGGTGCTTAGACTGGTGTCCTTGGGACTAGCACGTGGCATGATGGTTAGCTGGACTCCCATGTAGTCACCCATAGTTCGAGTCTCGGACCCAGGGCCTGAAACTCAGGCTGGGTGCGTGTGCGTGTGCAGAAGGAACTGTGGTGTGGCCGTCCCCGGTAGTGACTTCTCACTTTTTGCCCCTCTCTTTTTCTTCGTCTTTCCAGTGAGCGTACCCACCCTGTAGCTAAAATCTCTCTTTAAAAAAAACTGGGGTCCTCATAGCAGGTGGACTGTGCTCTCTTCAGCATGGCATGGTCGGCCAGTCATGTGATAGAGCAGGCACTTCCGTGTTTGCTTACGTGTTTCTGCACGCGTATGCTCCACCTTTCGCTTACACTTCTCTCCGTCGTGAAGTGAGCCGCACGGCTGGAGGTGCATGTCCCGGCGTGTGGCCCCCACGTACTCCAGTGCGTGGCATGGAACTCACACTCGTTTGGAAGCTCACTCGGCTTTGGCACAGGTTGGGCAGGCATGATGCCTGTCCTTCACCCCGTATCCCACCTGCTAAATACTGCAGGTGCGGACAGCCACCGTGAGCGTGTCCATGTCACGTGCACAGCTGTCGCCTCTGGGCTTGAGGGTGAGCGGACAAGGGAATCGAGCCATGGGGGAATGGGATGAGACCGTGGTGGCCTTGGCTACAGGACAGAGCCGAAGCCAGTGTCCAGCTGCTTGCTCAAGGACCTCTTTGCGGGTCCGTGAAAAATTCAAGTCCTCCTTTCCTTTTGAGTTTTTGACACACTAAAACAATATGGCTGCTAATTTTTAATCCTGCTTCCTTAGTTTTTCCCTGTTAAAATCAGAAGATGCCAGCACTTATGCCTGCCGTGGGTCACCCGTTTATTTCCAGGTGTTCTAATGACATGGGAGGAATTCCCCGTGACCTCACAGATACAGCGCTGACACTCCCTCCCTGCTTTGTAAGGACAGAGTGAGTGTCTGCTCTGGCCCAGGGACCGAATTTTCTGTGTTAGCTCTGGCATCTCAGTCTCTCCTCCCATCCGTGCCGTTCCGCAGAGCCGGTCTGTCCTACTGTCCATCACTGTCCCTCCACGTGTGACGTTCCATAGCAATACACTAGGGGTCTTCCGAAAGTGAGAGGCACAGGCGCGATGTGGAAACCTGACACGTCAGCAGGTATTTCACCACAATAATCCTATTTCCGTTTTGTCTCTCCACTCACTTTGAGGCCCGCTCGCCTGCTCTGCAGCCTGCTGACCGGTGGTCTCGGTCTCCGTGACACACCGCAGGTGCACGGGCGTCCTCGCTGGCGTGAGGGATGCCGCGTTTGTCCTAACCAGCCCCTGCTCTCAGGGGAAGGGCTGTTACTCTTTTCTCCTTTGCTATTGCCAGTCGTCATACGTCCGTAACCGGCACACGCCGGCACACGCCGTCACACGCCGTCACACCGATAGCGCTGCTTCTGTTGCTGTGGAAAAACTCCTCCATCTGCTTTGCAGGGAGGGCCGTGCCACCATCCCTGCTCCTCCGTTCTGCTATGGGGACTTGGGGCACACATGTGTCCGGCGTGTGTCTCAAACCTCTAGGTTCAGCCATGTGGGATCCAGCCACTCTAACCACTATGCCAGTGGCTGGCCCCTAAAAACCAAGTTTATAAAAAATGTGAATGAAAACAAAATAAGAAAGAGCTGCCCTGTAAGTGCGGGTGGAGTAAAATACGGAGTTCCAGGTAGTGCGAGGGGTAGACGGGCTCTTGGCGGTGATCTCTGCTCCAGTGTGGGGAAGCGTTGAGACTGCGTGGGGGGACGGTAGCTTTTCCTGTTTCAGATTATCATTATTGTTCTCATTGTTTTCTGAACATTCAATCACTATACATCACTTGGTTTATAAAGAGAATTTACCCAACAGGAAATGCTTCTCAGACCAGTTCAGTAGAGAATAGTGTACATGTTATCAACAGGTAATAACCCATTTCTGTGTCCCCCCGCCCATGCCTCTCAATTTGTTCCCGTGCTATCCTCCTCTCTACTCTTTTCTCCCCTACCACCCCACTCCACACTGTCTTCAGTGTCCATAACGGTTTTCACTGCTTTTATGCCCTCCGATATTTCAGTGCCTACCGTATAGTATGGATACTTGGTAGATACTAAGTGGATACATACAATGTCTCTTTCATAGCCTGGCTTGCTTCACTCAGCAATTAATCTTCCATGTTCAACCACTTTCTATCGAATGCCAGGGGCTTTTTTTTTTTTATGGCTGAGTAGTATTCCGTAGAGTATCTGTGCCACACTTTTTCAATCCATTCATCCATTTGCGGGCATTTGGGTAGGTTCCATGTCTTAGTGATCATGAATAATACTGCAGTAAACGTTGCTCTGTTTGTACTTTCCCAACTAAGGATTCTTCAGTCCTTTGGTAGATACCAGAAGTGGGATTGCTGGATCAATGGTAGTGCTATTTGTACATCTTTGAGGAAACTCCATATTGTTTTCCACAGTGGCTAAACCAGTCTACATTCCCACCAACAGATAGGAGAGTTCCTCTCTCACCACAACCCTGCCACAACGTTTACCACTGTTTATATTTTTAATCTTTACCATTCTGACAGGGGGTAGGGAATCCACATCTCCCTTATGAAAAGGGACATTGAGCATTTCCTCATGCTTTTTGGTTGGTTGGTTGTCCTCCTTAGAGAGATTTTTATTCAGCTCATTTTCCCATCTTTTAATTTGGTTACTCTTTTATTTATTTATTTTTTGACAGGTAAGTTGCTTGAGTTCCCTGTGTGTTCTGGTTATCAGTCTCTTATCTGAGGCAGATTTTGCAAG